CTCTCTCTCTCTCTCTCTCTCTCTCTCTCTCTCTCTCTCTCTCTCTCCCTCCCTCCCTTCCTTCCCCCCTCTCTCTTTCCATCTCTCCTTTTCTCTCTCCCTCTTCCTCCCCCCTCCCTGTAATATGGGAATGATGTAGTACAGAGAATAGAGTGCAAATTTTCTGACCTTCTGTTTTCATACCTTGTTACTTAAACTATAATTTTTCTGCTTACACCTACCATAAGAATAGGTACTCCCCAGCAATCCCCAGTTTACTCTCTAGAAAGATTAACAATCAACAACGGTGCAGTACAAGGAGTCCTCACATTCTTTACAAGGGTCTTTAGCTTCCTCAGTTAAGTTTATTTCTGGATATTTTATTTTTCAAGACTGTGATAAATGGTATTGCTTTCCTGATCTCTTCCTCAGCAGGATGATTTTGGTCGTATAAAAGAACTATTGATTTTTCTGTATTCCTGCTACTTGGCTGAATTTGTTTGTCAAGTCTGAAAGCCTTCTGGTGAAGCTTTGGGGTCTCTAACTATAGAATTGAGATTTTCAAAACAAGGGACAATCTTACTTCTTCCTTCCAAAAGTGTATTGCTTACACTCATAATGCTTTATTGATCTATCAAAAATGTAAACTATTTTAACAAATATCCCTGGCAACAGTGACTCCTCTTATCTCAGTCTTGATTTTAAAGGAAGTACTTTGGTTTTCCACTCTTCTGCAGGACACCGACTGACAGCTTCACATATATAGGCTTTATTATATTGACCAAACCCTTTTGCAACTAGTGTCTTTAAGGCTTGCATCACAAAGAAATGCTTATATGTTTTCAAAGACAAATTTCTGTATGGACAGAGATGGCCATCCTATTTTTAATCTCAGTTCTATCAATGAACTCTATGGTATTGGTGTTTTGCATGTATGACACTATCCTTGCATTCCAGGACTGAGAACATGTTGGTCCTGATGTGTGTTCTTCTTTAATGTGGTGTAAATTTGTACTGCACTTGTTTAATTGATAAGTTTTACACCTATATTCTTCCACAAAATTTGTTCTCTCTCTTTTTTTTTAAATTATGTCCTTGTCCTGATTTGTTATGTAAAGGTTATATATATATGATCTCCATGGGATGAGCTCAGAAAGACTTGTTCATGATTTATAATCTAAGGATTATGTATGATCTCCATGAGATTAATTCAGAAAGACTTGTTTCTGATTTATTTTGTAGGTGTTATTTTATTTATGATCTCTCTGAGATGAGTTCAGGAAGCCTTGCTCCTGTTCTATTTTATGGAGTAGTTTCAGAAGACCTAGTATCACTATTATAATGTCTGGTGAACTTCAGCGTGAATCCATCTAGTCCTGGAAAAAATATATGTACACAATTTATATATACATACACACATATATAAATACATATGGAGGGAAGCAACTTTTATTATTCCATTATTCTTACAGCTTTGTTTAGGTTTTGAATACCATCTTAGTTCAATTCTGATAAGACATGTGGTCTAGAAATGTAACCATTTCTCCTAGATCCTCAAATAAATTAGAATATAAGTTATCAATATAATACTTAATGATTCTTATTTCTGTAATAACTGTTACATTATATATATGTAGTATCCAATTTGATTGATTGGGGGTGTTCTCTTTATCATTGCCTAGGAGTTTGTCAATCTTTTCAAGGAAACAATAGTCTATTTCATCAATTTTTTCAATATTATTTTAATCTATTTCATTAATTTTCAGGTCTGATTTTTTTTTCCTTTTTCTAGTGGTTTGGGGTTGGGCTTGCTATTAATTGAGTTATTTGAGATGTCTCATATTTTTTAATGTAAAGAATTATAGGTAAATTCTTCCATCTTTGAGCCACCTTTACAATGCTCTACTGATTTTGATGTTTTGTGTTTTCATTCTCATTTGGTTCTAGGAGATTTTAAAACATCTACCATTAATACTCTAATAATCCTTTGATCTTTAAAATATGATTATTTAATCCTCGTGCATTTGTATAAATTTTGTTGCTGTTAATTTTTATTTTTGTTCTAATATATTTGCGTAGTGTTCAAAAATTACTTCTTGTTTTCTATATTTGTTGAGACTTTTTTGTGTTTTCAAGATATTATTTCTTTTGGAGGTAGTTCCATGTACTGAAAAGAATGTTGTACACATTGTGTGTAGGAAATCCTGTGATGTGTTGTTTTATTAGTATCTGACCTTATCTTGGTTTTTGTTTGTTTATCTATTTTTCTGGTGACAGTCTTTCTTTCTTGTACTCTGTGATGGTGTTTATCTTTTCTGTGTGAATACTTTCAAATGCCTTCTGCAATGCTAGTCTAGAAGAATGTTATACACATTGGATATAATATTTATGGATGGCTACTAAACCATGGTATAAATTAATCAACTTAACTCTGAATTATTTTTGATTGTTCCTTTTTTATCTTTGCCTTTCTTTTAATGACAGTGTGCAACATAATACTATTCTTGTTTCTGTATCTCTCTGTCTGTTTATACCAATAGTGTTTGTTTTATGAAATTGAATGCACAGGAATTTGCTTTTAGGTTTTTGTAGTCCTTGTAGCTACTTGATCTATCATTCCCATTACTAGTATGTAGTGACCTTCTTAGTCTCCTTTGAGTAATTTTCTCTCAGTGTCTGCCTTGTTAGAGATAAATATTGCTGCTTCCAGGTTCCATTGACTCACAATATAATGTTGTTCCACATGTCTTTCCATTTGTGCAGGTCTGTGCTAGTGAGGTGTGTTTCTTGCTGGCAGCAAAATGTTGAGTCATGTTTTTTAGCTAATTCTTCTTCCCAGTTGGAGACTTAAGACCATTTACAGCTGTAGTTAAAATCAACTAGTGTGTAGGAAATCCTGTGGTGTGTTGTTTTTATCAATATCTGACCTTATCTTGGTTTTTGTTTATCTATTTTTCTGGTGACAATCTTTCTTTCTTGTATTCTGTGATGGTGTTTATCTTTTCTGTGTGAATACTTTCAAATGCCTTCTGCAATGCTAGTTTATGAGTCATGAATTCTTGTAGTCTAGTTTAGAAGTTCTGTGTCTGTCCTTGATTGTGTAGGAGAGCATTGCTAGAGATAGCCTTTTGTAAATAGATTTCTCTGTTTTAATTCAGGAGTTAACTTACATCACTCCATGAGCTCATATAATTAATGGCTTCTGCAGAAAACTCTGCTGTTATTATACTGGGTTTGGTTTTGTTTCCTCTTAAAGTTTTCAATGTGTATTTTGTTATGTTGCCCTTGCATCTTACTTATATGTAAGGCCAGGATCAGAATTCTAAATGCCTCTGATATATGGATGCTCACACCCTTCCCAAAATTTAGGAAATGTTCTATAGTTCTATGAGTAGATTTTATATGCTTTTGGTCTAAACCTTGGTACATTTTTTTTCACCAACATATGTAAGTAAAGTCTGCTAATCATATCCTAGGTTTCTTTCATATTATGTTCATAATTAAGTTTTATGTCATATTGTTTTGATTGTCTAATTTGAACCCCATCTTAAAGGCCTAAAATTATTCCTTCTGCTTTTCCTGTACTGTTGGTGAGGTTTCCACAGATTATCATAATTTGCTTTGTAAACATTTCTAATATTTGCTTGTCTTTTCAAAATCTCTGTCTCTTTACTGACCTAATTCATATCTTCCTTAAGCTAGTGATCTGCTCTTCTTCAGTTCTTGAGATTCTCTGCTTCTTTTAAGTTCTTTTTATCCAATATTTTATTTGTGAAAGTATCTTTGGCCTTTGTTTTCTGGGACTTAACAAACTTGGAGAACAGTCATGTCACATTGGAATTTTTACATTTCTTTTATTTCAGTGATTGTGTGAGTGCTGGCAAGAATACCTTGTTCAATTTTCTATGAGAAACTTTTGAAACAAAATCTCCAGAAGTTGTGTCCAACTTCTGGATAATGGATGATTATATAATGTTGAATATATTTCTTATTGGACTTTCTAGTATAGCTTCCTTGTTACTTCCTTTATTGAAGTTAGCATTTTATGGTAGATTATACACTGTTTCAAACCAATTGGCAAGAGCAAAAATTAGTCAGCAAATGCAAAAGTAAAACCTAATTTACAGAAAACATTTAAGAGTTAGAGAGATAACTTAGCAGTTAGAAGCACTTCCTGTTCTTCCAGAAGATACCAGTTCAGGTATCAGAAGAAGCAGCTCTTTGCTGCCCCTGCTGATGTCAAGCAATTGCTGAGATGAGTGGAACAGTGCAGAAGGTCCTGCCCTATCCACCCATGACCACAGCTTTCTGAAGCCTAGCCTCTGTAGGCAATCCTACAAACAAACTCAGTTCCCTGACCCAACTCAGCTGGCTCCTGGAGCCATCAGCATTAAAGGGGAAGAATAAACTCTCTTCCCTTTTGTGTCTACAACATGAATCCCCACTATAGAGACTGAAGCTGGAAAGCTCTCCACACAGCAGACAATGGCTACAGGAAGGGAGTTTTTTGGAGTTGGTGGGCAAGTTTCCTTAGGATATGAAAAGAAAATCTATACCTTCTCAGTGAAACCTGCTTTTTCTGGAAATTATGTCAAAGCCTCATAATATTTGCTGTAAGACTGAAATCACCATGGGTAGGCAGGTTTGAATTGACAAAATCTTTGAAGAAAGCAGTCTTTGTATTCTGGAATCTTCCCTATGCATTATTCTGAAAATCGCCTGGCCTTCTTTTCATTTGGGTTCTTGAGTTCCATAAGTATTCAGAGGAAATTTTTATTTCTCCTTAAAGCACACTGAGTATAAAGTTAATAGGTAATAAAATGCATCCATTGCTATCTCTAAGCAAAAAATAGTGAACGCAGCCATGCGGGTCTGAGAGCTTTCTCCCTGAAACTTTCCTAGCAACTTTTATTGGTGGTTGATTGAAGGAAAAAAAAAAGAGAGAGAGAGCAATTGTTGCAGTCCTCAGCACCTCAGAAATGGAGGCGACAACTGTTTCAGTTAAGTTTTCAGAAGTCGTGCATCAAACAGAAATGTGGAATGTGCATCTTCTCTGCAGGGAAACGGTAATCCTAAAAACTCACTGCAGCTATGAGCCCCCAAGTTCCCACCCTTGTTTTACTACTGACTACATATGAAAGCATGAGGAGCCTATTCAGTTTCTGCATCTGCAAGTAGAGCTAACAGGACAGTGCCTGATGGGCTCTTTAGAAAAATACACTTGGGTGGAGGCATGGGTCATTGGGTTAAGAGCAGGCATTTCTCTTGCAGCAGATTCAAGTTCAGCATCCAGCCCTCATATCAGGTAGCCCCTGATCTTCTTGTAACTCCAGCTCCAGGAGATCCTCTGGGTTCTGTTCTGAGAGTACCTGCAACACACAAACACACACACACACACACACACACACATACACACATACACATAATTAATTTTTTTAAAATCTAAAAATAATTATAGGAAATGTTTCAATACTATAAGATGGATTGCATATTGCTTCTTGGGAAATGTAAAACAATTTTGTTTTAATTCACAAGTTAGTAAGATACACTCAAAAGGCCTCTCTGACTATCTCCCATTTGGTAGGTTTTAGCTAGACTAACTTACAAATGCTGTCTTGTTATAGGTTTCCTTGGACTGGGATATGAAGAGAGATTGGTAGGTGAGGCTCACTAGGGAGGACCAATGACTTTGGTTGCTCTGTGGATTCTCCCTCTCAAGACATCCTGGAAGTTATGAAGCTCTGGACAGAGGACACTGATTGGAATTTTTAAGCTATAGCAGGCAACGCTGCCAAAGCGTATGTCAAATAAGATCCAGTTACAATAATAATGGCCAGTGTGTGTATCTCAGAAGGACTTATCAGTAGAAGTGAGACAAGCCAGGCGAGTGGACACATGACAAAGGGGATGCTGTGTGACATCGCTGGGTCATGAGGTGGCTTCTAACTGTGTAGGAGGGAAAGGCTTCATGAGGAAGGCAGGGTTTATGGAGATTTTGTGAATCAAAAGTTAAACTTGTTCAAGGCAGATAAATCACCAGGATGTGGATTTTTTTTGGACAAGAGCAAAAATAAAGGAATAGGATCCAAAGTCAGTCACAGACACAGGGAACTCTGCATCCTTCAGAGTCATTTAGACTCACGAGATCCAGGCAGGCTAATCTATATGAAAGTGTTTGGGGGGCAGAGAAGATCAAATCCTAGGGGAAGTGCTTGTGGCATAAGAGCCAAGACCTGAATTTCTCCTTAACGCCCAAGTAAAATGGCAGGCATGGTGATATGTGCCCTATTTGGGAGCACTGGGGATGTAGAAACAGTTGAATCCCTGGGGTAGCTCACAGCCTGCATGGCCGAAGTGTAAACTCCAGATTCCAGTGAGAGACTCCATCTCAAACAACCAAGGAGAGCATCTTCCTAGGAACACTAGTGGTTGATCTCTGATCTACATGCACACCCCTATGCACAGGAGCACACACATGCGCATGCGCACACAGGTTTAGATTCCTGTGACCATTAACACACACACACACACACACATGTGTAAACAAATGAGCACACACACGGGTTTGAACTTCTGTGATGGTGGTCTTGAGATGAAGAGAGACAGGTTTAGAACAGAGCTTGGGGGAGGTTGTTCTAATATGAGGTATGCCCTGGTTGGGGAGACAAAGAGAATCTTCTCTCTGAACGATGCTGGGTTTGCTGCCTGAGTTTTAGGGCAGCTTGTTAGCTCATTCCTTCAGTTTGTGTTTACTTCTCCACAGCTCAATGGCATGCAGTCACCTTGGCAGACAGAGTTTAAATCTTGGCTTCTGAGAAGACATTGATGAGCCCGTTGAGATTTATTTCTGAATCTGTACATGAATTGAAAGCCTCCAGCGGATGGGATAGGCTGCTGCTATTTTGAAGCTTCATCACCTTGAGCTAGAATCTGTTCATGGAGGAAGTCCACATAAGCAATCAATCAGTCAATCATCAATCAGTCAAGCAATCAATGCTTTGTTTATTAGAAGACCTATCTTGAGGTCTTTTGCAAAGTTATAGTAATGCCAGTTCCTTCTTCTTCCCTATCTATCTTTAGAAGATTTATTTCAATATTATTTTATATGTGTGGATATCTAGCCTGCATGTATATATGTATGGAGGCCAGGTCAGGGTTTTGGATATTCTGGAACTAGGGCTATATATGGTTTGAGCTGCCGTGTGGGTGCTGGTAACTGAATCCGGCTCTTCTGAAAGTTCAGCTACTTGCAGCCAGTGACCCAGCTCTGCAGCACCTCCACCCCTCTACCTAAAATAAAATATGAGAGAAAACCGGAATACATTTGGAACTTAGCACTTGTACAAACATTTTAATTTGAAGACATATTGAAAGTTCCATTAATGATCACACACACACACACACACACACACACACACACACTCAAATACATTTTATTCTGCCAAAGCAGATAATAGTCTGTCAGCTCCCATATAATTGAAGAACCCATTTATGGCCTGGTGAAGTATCTTTTTCTGTAAGGAAAAAAATGTTTCATGGTGGTTTAAAATTATTTGTTTGTTTGTTTGTTTGATCGGAGGCGAAGTGGTGAACAGTATCATGTCATGTTTCTAAAGGTCAGAAGACAAAATGCAAGAAGTGGTTTTCTGCTTCCTCCTTGTGAGTCTCAGGAATTGAACCCAGGCTGCCAGGCTTGGCTGTGCATGTTTTCATCCTCTGAGTCTGTTTTAAGTTAGTATAATTATTTATTTCAGCACTGCTTTTAAAATGAAGGCCATTTTCCTTGCTTGCTCAGGCCAGTTGGCATTTCTGTTGGCATCACTGGATCCCCATTCCTTGGGAATGACTCAGTAGATACAGTTGAGAGCAGACACGGATAAGCTAGCTATTTACAGGGACACCCAGAGTACCTATACGGCTTCTGTGAGCTCCTTCAGACCCGAGTAGGCTTTGTGTCCAGCTGCCAGCATCAGCAACTAGTCTTCCCTGAGTGATCTTTAGGCTAAGCATCTGTTAAGTGAGGAACAACTGCTCTGAAGAACTCAGGCCACATGCTCTGCCACCTCTCTAACCTCTTCCAAGGACCTGTTACATCAAAATGTCCCACAACACCTGTGTCCCTGCAACCAGTTCTGTCCCACCTTTACTGTGTGGCTGAAGAATCAGAGGGAACTTGACAAAAAGCAACTTATCAACCATGTGGTGGGGGACCTCCCACTTCTCCCTGAAACCTGTTAGAATGGATGCCCCGATTTGCCCAGCAGTAAACTGAAGACTCTCTGGTTTTAGACTATGCCCATGTAGTCTGTGGCATTAAATGACACTCTTAAATACTTTCATACCCTGAAGGACAATCTGCTGCAGTGTCTGTCATTCCGTTTGACATCTTTCTAAAATTTCTCTCATAGGAACAACTTTACCTAGAGAGCCAGGAGTGCTTGCTTCCCTCTGCCCAGCACTGCCTCTGACCCAATGGCTCTCTCCTGCGTGAAGGGGAAAGCCAGGCTCCTCTGCTAGGGTGTGACTTACGTTTTAGAGCCCCCTGCAAAGTTTGGGAGTTCCTAACCTGGCTTGACAGCTTCACTCCAGTGGTTCTCTGTCCTTGCCAAACACAGCAAACCTTCCCAAGAGCCTCCTGCAGCGGCTTTTAATAATTACCCGTCCTGCCAGGTGCCTCAAGGAACACTTGAGACAGAGCTTTTGTTGGAAGTATCCTTCCTGTCTCCTACCTTTCAGAGATGTGTTCTGAGTTGGCAGCCCCCATGAGCTGGGTAAACAAGCCCTAGGCAGATAAGCATAATGAAAGAAAATATTCCTGTCAACTAAAATGACACTGTGACTCACAGGACAGAGATAACAGGCTTCTGTGTGGATGTTGGTTTGAGTTCTTTTGTTTGACTGTCTTTGTTTTGGTTTCTTTGGTTGCTTTTTGTTTTTCCTTTTGTTTGTTTATCTGATTGTTTGTTTATGAGATGAAGTCTCACTCCTTGACTCAGGCTGATCTGGACTGACTTTGTAACCCAGGCTGGCTTTGACCTTACAGCCATCACTTTGCCTTAGCCTCTGGAATGCTAGGATCGCAGGCATGGGCCACCAGGCCATTCTTCTGAATGGCATTGTTTCTGAAGGAGCAGCCGTGCTGTGACTGACAAGATCCTTTCTGTATCCATACATTGAGTGAGACTGGATGCAGTTTTGAGGTTATACAAAAGACAGCTCTGTGTGGAGGTCCAGTGCTTACAGCTGAAGTGCTAAGGTGGAGAGAAAAGGTGAGAACGGGAGAAAGACAGGATTTGGAGCTGGAGGTTTAAAAGCACTTGCTTGGCTCAGTGGCAGAAACACAGTGGAGGGAGAGAATCGTAATTTCCCACCAAGGAGATCCGTTCAAAGTGACCATTCAGCCCTGTAAATGATCCAGCCGTACGCCAGGGATGGGGTTGATTTGAACTCCAGTATTTAAAGAAAAACGTTGAGCCAAAGGAAACCCACCAACCGTTTATAAACACCAAGTCTGGGTTGTGTTTTCCTAATTTTGATTAAACAGTTTTTAAAAAAGATAACACATAAAAACCATGTAGTGGCCAAAGTGAGGAGGAGCAGCCTCCTGGAGAGAGGAGGGAGAGCAGCCTCGGAGCTTTATTCATAACAGGAACCAGGGAGAATCTAGGAGACTGTTTATCATACATAATCTGATTTACGAAGACATTGCTTTTGGCAAACAGGAAAAGAAAGCCACAAAGTGGAACAAGCTGGGAGGAAGGGACAAAAGGACAAGATGAAAAGAAGACAGGATGTGGGGTCAAGGCCACAAGCTGGGATGGAACAGGGTACTCAGGAGATAACCTGGGCAGCAGGGGAGGTCACAACCACAGCCATAGTTTCAAAATAAAATGCCTTCAAGTCAGTCCTCTACATGTGAGTGGGTGCACATGTAAACACACACATACATATACACACACTTACACACAGACATACACATGCACACATGCATACACTGGCACACACATACATTCAAACACACATGCATACACATGCACACATGCAAAACCTGCACGCATGTGCACACATGTACATGCACACACGGGCACACATGCATACACACACTCACACATTCATACACATGTATATGCTCTCACACAGAGAGAAGAAAAGAGTATTAGATACACAGGGCCAATGAAGCAGATGCAAATTAAAATAGAAACTTCCAGAGTGAGTTCACTGGGGCAGAAGGTATGACTGAAGATATAATTGAAGAAACTTGTTCCTGGATGTGAGGTGAGGGGATAGGGAGGCAGGGAGAAACAAGATGGCAGAGGTTGATCATAGTTCACCCGAGTTATTTAGCAGACACTGAAGCACATCTGTGAATTGTGTGGAAAGGACAGGTAACTGGGGAGAAGCAGAAGTGTGGGCTTGTCATCAGGCAGTTGGCATTCACTTCTCTGATGATCTGCAAGGCCATGCTTCAGAGCTCAAGGAAGCTTATTCTTTCCACAACATGGAACTCCTAGTCTAAAACTGGGCTAGGTTCTGAAATGTGTCAGTGACTTCTTAGGACCCAAATGACCTGCCTTTATAGTGTAAGGCTCTTGCCACATGGTCACATAGAAAGTGTGAGAGATACATGAAACTTGTTTCCTTATTTGTTGGCGTCAGCCCCTGAGATTAGTCATAAAGAAGTTGTAGACTGATACTGAAGTTTAACGAATAGCCAGGCATTTTCTGGGGACCACACACTGGTCCCCTCAGATGCAGATTTAAAAGAACTGGAGAGAGGCTGGTGCCCTGTCCACTATGGTGGGGAGTTGAGTCTCAGTTGTCTTGGCTTGTTTGATGTTGTGGAGATTAGAGAACACCATGAAAGAGTCACAAAAGCACAATACTACACAGATGAGCATGTGACCGTGTGTGGATGGGGTTGGGGTCAGGGCTTAGTGGGTACAGTGCCTGCTCTGTAAACATGAACACTTGAATTTGGATCCCCAGCACCTGTGCAAAGGTGGGTGTGGTAGCAGGTTAGGGAGGTTGAGGGGAGGATGGCTAGATTCCAGGGACTCAGGGCCAGCCTTCCTAGCTGAAATGAGAAGCTCCAGATTCAGTGATACCCCGTCTAAAAATAAATGAAAAAATTTGGAGAAACATTTGAGTAAGACATCTTATGTGGAACCCTGGGCCACACACACACACACTCACACACATACACGCATGTATACACACATACACACTCATACATTCATATACACACATACACACACATGCACACACACATACCCACATATTCACATATACACGCTCACATACATACACATGAAAACATACACACTCTTACACACATGTACACACTCATGCATACACATTCATACACTCAGACACACAGTCTCACTCCTGTACACTCATGCACACATACATACATATATCACACACATATACATGCATATGCACACAGCCCGAAGAGAAAAAAAAATAATTATGTATCATGTTCCTTAACAAGGACAGTTGAAATGGAAAGTTAAAACACTGTCAAGATATTTTAAAAGAACATTATTAGCATTAATTACCTCTAGGGAAAGTCTTCTACTTAATTTTTATTTTCCGTATTTGTTAAATAGTCATGAATTAATTTTATGGTAAAAACAAGACCAATCAAGGCCCATTTGTCAGCCCAGTCCAAACTCTGCCTCCTGCTGAGGTTCCCAGGAATTCTCCGCCTAGCAAGTCTGCCCCTAGAGTCTGCCTTCTGGTGCTTTCATCTTTTATTAAGAATTAACACTGTGTGCAGACACTTTAAAACTTCTGAAAAGTCTTAGTGCTGAATGTAAAGGTAACCGTTTCTCTTTCCAGCATTTTCCACACTTACTTGCACATAGAGCCGTGTTAAAGAGTCATTATTGTTCCGCAGAGTAATTAGTTCACACAGTGAAATGGTCCTTCATTTGGCATTTATTAAAGTAACATGAATGAATGATTTTAATGAATCGTTGACTAAAATATGTCGGATAGTTATTGAGATTTTCCTGGTTGTGAGCCAAAACGAAGATTATCTTTCCAAAATCCGCATAAGGGACGGAGATCTGGTTCTACAGTTAAAGGCATTTGCTGTTCCTGTACAGGACCAGAGTTCAGCTCCCAGAGGTGTCAAGCATCTCACAACCTCCTGTAACCCCAGCTGCAGGGGATCTGACACCCTCTTCTGGCCCCTGAGGGCATTTACCTGGCACGCAATCATGCTTAAGTAGAAATCACTAAAGCTTAGAAAAAACAAAATCTACTTAGCATTTTAACAAGTTTATGCACTTATGCTTTCTAGTCCATAAAGTACTTGATCTGGCTAACTTTATAAGGTGCCTAGGCAGCATAAAGCACTGTGGGAGATGCAAAGACATCTCATGTCTCAAGAGCTGATCTCAACCCAGTTCATTCCATCTTCACTCATCTCCGTCTTCACCAAACTAAGAGCATTCCACCGCGCGTGATCATTCCTGAAGTTTAAACACCGAGATGCTTTAGTTCAGTGTTGGTGAACGGCGACAGAGGGAGAATCTGTGTGCATCTGCTCGCAGTGGCGAACAAACGGCACATGGCGTTTCCTGCATTTTGAAAGCTGATGACACCATATTTCCAAACAAATACTGTCTGACAAAAATAAAAGCCCATCTGGGTTTTTATAATTAAATGTTTTCTCAGCCAGAGAGTCTTCCTTTTCCCAGCCCTGTGGTTGCATTACATCTTTTACTAACCCTCGTCATGGACTTCTTACGGCCTTGCATGTTTTGCATGGATACGAATGACACGAAAAGTATGGAGACCTTTTTGGAAATACTTGGCAACTTAACAACAGCAAAAATGGTATGAATGCACCCACGTATAAACCTGTGTCTCGAACCAAACAACATAGAAGACAAGCTGTAAACAAGGCCTCTGAAATTTGAGACTGAAGAGATGGCTCTATTTAACAGCCCTGTTTGCTCTTGTAGAGGACCAGATCTTGATTCCCAGCGTCCACACGGTAGCTCACAACCGTCTGTAACTCCAGTTCCAGGGATATCTGATGCCCCCTTCTGGCCTCTAGGAGCACTGCACACAATGCACAGACATGCATGCAAGCTAGCAAGGCACCTGTACAACATCAATAAAAGAATTCTCAAAGGCAGCAGAAACGGGGGATGGGGGAGAGTGCTATTAAAATTTAAGTTTGTCATTATTTCTTTTCGAGAATTGTAGAATGTTTTGCTCAACAAATGTCAAGAATAGAATTAGAGCCATGATTTGTAAAAGAGGAATGCCAGCTTGACTAGAATTCAATCTGCTTTTAATTTATAAACGGTATTTTTAAAATGCCTTCACCAGAATAAGTACTTCCCTGTAATGAAGGGGCTGGAAGTCAAACATTTTAATATGAAATGCCAAGTTAGAAAACGGAATACTTAAAGATATTGTTAGCTTCCTTTAATAAACATAGGGAATGAAACATGGCCCAGTTAGGTTAAAAGTTAGGATCATTCAGTAATTTATTAAAGGGAGAAGTAGGATTATGCATTGCTGACTCTGAATCCTGATTAAATATGGTCTCTATGTCTTCAGGGCAACCTTAAAGCTTACAAGGAGCCACAATTTTGTGTGAATGTTAGAAGTGGATTTTATTTCATTTACTGTTTCCCTTTGTATATGTGTATGGTGTTTGTGTGTGTGTGTGTGTGTGTGTGTGTGTGTGTGTGTGAGAGAGAGAGAGAGAGAGAGAGAGAGAGAGAGAGAGAAGAGAGAGAGAGAAGAGAGAGAGAGAGAACGATCAGATACTTATATGCCACAGTGCATATTTGGACATCAGCCTCCAGTGTTGGTCCTAGCCTTCTACCTGGTTTTAGGCAGGTTCTCTCATGACCTACTGTGCACAGCAGACATGCTGACTGACTGACTGACTGACTGACCTGTAAACTTCTAGGGAAGCACCCATTTTCCATCTCCTCCACTTCCCTCTGTGGACATGCTAGAACTGTGGGTACAGTCTCCACGTGCTTTTACAGGAGGTTCAGGAGGTAAGATTCAGGCTCTCATACCCATGTGTTAAACACGTTACCCTCTGAGCTCTCAACTATATTTATAATTCTAAAGACAAGTCTTCACTAAGAGAAAAATGTAAGTGTTGCCTAACGTACAGATACAGTGATGTGCCCGACACCATTTTAAGTGATTTATAGATCGTTTTAGCTTTCTGTCACTGTAAGCAAAACTCCGACAGAATCTACTTACTTTATGGTCTTAGATCCAGTCCATTGGGTTCACGTTGGGGCAGTAGATCACAGCACACACAACTGTTCACCACAGGAACATTTAATCATTCAGTAGATGATGGTTTTTACACTTGATCTGGGGAGCATGAAAGACCAGGAGTCTTGTCCCCTGATACTGCTGAGCAACATTGCCCAAGCATGCAGAGACTGCTCCTCTCCCATCCCACACCCAGACCTCCTGGCCAGGGACCCACAAGGAACTCAGAACACTGACTGTTCCTCCACCTAAGCCAGGACACTTTTATTACTTAACAAGATGTGGATGGAAAAAGATACATGTTGACCGGTAAAATCCCATCCAAAAATTCTTAGCCAATCCACACATGACAGCACTCCCTGTCATCCAAGATGATTGCTGGCCAGCCTTAGTATATTAGTTCCACTACTGAGCATCTGCCGATTCCAGACACTTTTTCAGATCGTGAATCTCTCCTAAATGACTCATCTGTCTGAGTTTAGGTATATCACTGAGGAAAACTTGTCTGCTTCTGGTCTGCATTAACAAAGGGAGGGGTCTATACCACTAATTATTCCTTGCTGGGTGTTTTAGTATATTTTCATGCTTTGCTGGATGTTTTAATATATTTTCAGTCATCCACACAGTATTATTGGAGGGCTCACATTTTAGCAATTACTAAAGACCAACAGGTAAGTTTTAAAGTTGTTGCTTATTTCTTGTATAAATATTATAATTTAAGTAAATTTCTTAAAAGGTGTTTCTTAATTTATAGTTGTCATTATATAAAACCATTAAATATTTAAATATAATATATATTCTATGATATATGTATATTTTAATACAGATACATATTTGATTATATATTATAGAATATATTCATATATTTATGTATTACAGAATATATATTATAGAACATATTCATATATTACAGAAATACATTTATATATGTGTATTTGTGTATATCACAGAATGTATCTATGTAATGATTATATGCACACACATAAGGTCGATATATGGTGTATGTGTGTGTCTTGCAGAAACTAGCTGCATACTTTCACATTGTTCATGTGGAAAGGAATAATAAGTAAAACTTAGCTCTCTCATTACCTTTGTGCAAGAGCAGAGAAATGATATCTATAAAGTATTTTAAAGTGCTGGAGAGATGGCTCAGCAATTAAGAGCACTAGCTGCTCAGCCAGGTACATGGGTTCAAGTGCATGGGTTCAAGTCCCAGCATCCACATGTCCCCTTTGAACTTTCTGTAACACAAGTTCCAAGAGACCCAACACCTTCTTGTGGCCTCTGAGGGCACTGCATGCCACATACCTGATGTGCATGTCTACACAGATGCAGGCAAAGCCCTTATACACATGAAATAAAGTGAATAAACCTATTTTTCTTAAAGAATTGCAGGGTTTAAATGAGATGAACCATAAAGAAACTACCACAATGCCCTGCACAAAGTATACATTGGCTGTTTCCATTGTCATATAAATTTTCATTTCATTCTGGATATGGAAGAGCATGCCCTCTAGCTCACAGCAGGAGCTGTGATCTCCCTTGTAGAAGGGAAATTGCTGGCACACTGCTCCTCGGCTGTAACTCACCACTCCAATGTGGCATCTGTCCTAAAGGAATGTCAGCTCAGGCAGGTCAGCTTTGGAGCTCCATGTGAGTTGGTCCTGCCATCCATCAGAAATGCGCAACATCCTCAGGCATAGGTCTGAAGTGTCCCTGTCTGGCTTCAGGTTG